TGGATTCGTTCTAGCATAAACGCAGATTCAATTCTCACAATCTTCAACTTTGTTGCGTATCACCAAATACCAAAAAATAATCCTCAGTTTAGGAGTGTAAATACAAATTTATAGAGTGCAAAATTTTATATTTTGTATAGATTTGTATTGTACATATTTGTATTTATATTCCTTTTAAACGCAGATTTGTACTGTACATATTTGAAAGGAATACAAATATAAATATGTATAGTACAAATTTACATTTGGAAGGAGTATAAATATAAATATGTATATTACAAATCTATACAAAATAATACAAAATACAAGGTTTTGCCCTCTACATATTTGTATTTGTATTCATCCAATCTATACAATTTTGTATTATTTTGCATCCATTTGCACAATACATATTTGCATTTATACTCCTTCCAAACTCAGCGGAGCAAAAGTTTTTTTCATCTATATGACGTTCTTCACCCAGCTAGTCCTAAGACTCCTAGGGCACATCATACTCACTCTGTATTTTGAGTTCTGCAGATCACAAAGGGATGCCACCTCCTCAATTTTTAGTTCTGTATTCAAACTAAAACCATGGTCCACAGTCTTTACTCTTTAATTCAAACTAAAATCCTTTTCCACTTCCAAATATGTTAGCGGCAAGAATAATTTCAGGTCATTTAGATTTTAGACAAGTTCTCTCTGCATAGGCTGACTAGAGAATCCAACCTTCAATTTTTCTCAGCTACTCAAGTTCAAAATCCTTATTTCATCCTCTGCAGTAGGGGTGGTGGGAACTGGGGATAAAGATGATGGGGGCAGATCCAAGCAGTTGATCTAATCAGAGGCCTACTCTCGGGTTCTGTGGATTGTTTGGTCTTTGCAGATTTGCTTCATTCTAGAAACCTTTAGCAACCACATACTGGGTTTTTGGACCTTTGGGCACTGAATTTTGGTAAATTTATCAAAATGGCAATAATATGAAAAATTGCTGGTAATTTTACCGCCTTACAACAGTTAAGATATGGAAATTAGGAAAGACATGCTACTGTTCCTACATACTTGAACAATGGCATTGGAAAGATTAAGAGCAAACCATTAGAACAACTTTTCACAAGAATCTTATTTCAATAAATTTAAACAATAAAGTTGATCAGCGTTTTTTCTTTTTTAAGAAAAAACTCAGGGTCCATTTGGTTTGTAGTCAAAATTAGAATCTGAATAAGAATAGTCTATTTCCATAGTCTGTTTGCCTCAGGCATGAATCAGAATCAGAATTGAAATAAATTGGAATGGATTGAGGGAATATTATTCCAGCAGGAATGGGATTCCGATTCCGTCTAACTTTGTTGCCTATTCTGATTCCGGTTTCAGACCTCTATTCTACCAAACAAAATGGGCCCTCAGGTTTGTATACCGCATAGAAAGGCTTTTTCACAATATTGTTGTAACATTTCTCACCCCCACCCCCTTAATTTATTGTTTTAAATAAATTAAAATGCTAGTTAAGCTTCTTTAAGCTTCTTCAACATAGGGTTGTCAATGGGCCAGGTCTGAATTGGGACAGGGAGTCCCAATCCCATTCCAACTTCCAATTACCAATTGGGAGAACGCGAAGGACCCAGAACCAAACCAATAAATTAATTATAACTTGGCATTTATAATTATCAATAATAATATTTTAGAACATTATTTTATTAACATAACCTTAATAAAAATGAAACTAAAATATAAAATGTATTTTTAATCATAAATATCTTATGTATTGTTCATAAAATTTATATAAGCTCCATTTGGAAGGAGTACAAATACAAATATGTAGAGCGCAAAAGTCAAAACTTTATATTTTATATTATTTTGTATAAATTTATACTGTACATATTTGTATTTATACTCCTTCCAAACTAAACCATAGAGATATAACAAAATTTACAAAATCTCTCTCTTAATCGGAACAAAATTCAAAACCAGAAGTGACATAGTCAATTTGATAAATTCAGTTCTATCGGATAAACCCACACATTGACAACACTAATTTCACATACCTCAGAGTTCCCTTTTAATCAGTTCTCATCTGGAGGGGCAAGAAATGACAACAGTGTATTTAGAGGGCGAAAACTTTGTGAATAACCATTATTACCACTCAAACCGATCTAACTTACTAATTTAAATGCTGAGCTTATTATCAATTTTAAATCGTCAATTACACAAAATAATGTAGAATTCTTTAGCTATGTACAAGAGCTGCAGGCTGCAGCGATTTGGCCAGTCACCGTATTATTTACATATCATGGTCCAACAATATTATCATTCTTAGCATCGGCAATAGAGTCTTCCAAAAAAGAATATTTTATTTTTTAAGCACCCCGCTGCTCCACATATTTCAATTGAATGACTGTCAGTGTCACCATCATGTTAGACTGTTCGTTTGGACTTCGCACTTCGCAGTATCTAATATTGAAAGAAATTCTACATCTTTTGAAAACAATAAGTAACATGCATTGAGGACATTTCCCCATACATAACACCATATAACGGCATGAAATGTTTTTCCGATACACGATGGGATGTGTCATGTGATGTAAGTCGGTGTGAGGAACAAATCCCAATTTCAAAAGTAACTGATTTTTCTCAATAGCAATAGCCACTGAGCTGCATTTCAACAATTATGCATTACCAATAGCAACTTGTAATAGTGGTAAGAAATGAAATAGGTTTGATCAAGCAATCTTCTAGGCAGAATTGTTTGCGCTCTTGCTTTGTTTTCTTTTTGACTAGTAAAACTGCTGAATTCAGATTTCATCCTCAGAAAATCCGTCCTTGCAGCCATGTGGAAGCATCTCCTTACATAGTATTTTCTTATTTCATTGGGAAACATTCCCAATTCGCGGCTGCAAGAAAGAAGTGAGGACAAATTTTGAGGATGAAATCTGACACTGCTTGCTCTCTTGCAAGGGTTACAATGATCTTATCATAGAAGATGACCGCCAAGTAGTGATGTGGTTCACCTCATCCACTGCAAGTCCTTGGATTCTTAGAATATTTAAGAGATAGAATACTGGGTAAAAGAAGCCAAAGGCACAATCATGAATCGCTTTTTCAAGTCCCTCTCTCTCCCTACTCTTATGAGAAGAGTTTATTTCCTGGTAATCAAAAAAATTTTTAAGTTTGTTACTGAGAAAATCAATAGCTACATTCTTGAATTGGGTGGGCAAAATTGACATTGAGGCTCCATTTCTTTGCAGTGCAGTTTCAAATGCAAAGGAGTGCAAATTCTAATTCATTGGAGAAAACATTTAACCGAATGGATGAAACAAAAGTCATTTATAATCACAAATTTCTCCGTAGAAATTTGTTGATTTGATCTTTTTACCAAAACCTGTAATTTGAACAAGGGATGTTGGAAGGTATGAAACTATGAACGTCACTGCATATTGAACTGAAAAGGCCAAGGTAGAAGCTGGCTCAGCTCGAAAGTTGGTGGATGTAGTTCCCACTTCCCACTGACCACAAGTTTCCTCCCCGTATTTGGTAAAGAGCATAAGCTTCCACTGACCTAGGACAGAATCCCATCTTCAAGACATCAACCATATCACAGACATGCAATAAATGTCACAATGAGTACCAACTACCGAGCACAAAATTGTAACCTGTAAGCCAGATTCCAAATAAGAACAACCCTAAAGACTAAGTATCTAATACCACTCTCTCCATACATGACCATAGGGTTCCCACTTATCAATTGTAGAAACAATTTTGCAATATGATTTATGACCGTCAGTAACCTCTGTTTTTCCATTATCAATTCGTTGTCAATGGACACCACTTTTGCTTGATTTATAATGACTGCACCATGATTGTTTTCAAACATATGTTCCAGAACCCCACTTTCCCAATGTTCAGAAAACACATTGACACTTAAAATCTTGAAGTTCATGGACAACATGATATGTTAGAATAACAGCAGGAATATTGTTGCATTCTGTGCTAAAAGATGTAGGTGGTTAATATAAAAGTTAAATGCTTCAAATGAATGAATCAATGCTATACTTGTAGTAGATATAAAAAGTTAACTCATATTTTAAAGACAGTACTTCGTCACCTTATTATTTTTAACACAAATTTCTTAAACTACCCTTATGGTTTAGCTAGTTGACTAAGTGTACCCTTACTGTTTGAAAATTGGCTAACACTACCCTTACTGTTTCTGACAATTGACTAACTCTACCCCTGTCGTTAACGTCCATTAACAGAAAGGCAAAAGAGACTATTTTATCCTTTATTCTTCTTCAAATTTTCAAAATAAAACAGAGAAAAGGGGAAAGAAACACTGAACTCAGTGATTTCAGCACTTACATCCCTGTCATTTTTGCACCTAAAAACCCCTTCATAACATCGGATTCTGCCTGCCGGAGAATCTACAGTTTGCCACCGCTGTGAGACTCCTGTTCTCCTTTTTCAAGTATTCCCTTTCAAGATCAAGTCCAATCGTCATTAATTTCCTGTTATTTTCTTTTTTTTTATGTTTCTTTTTTATTTTTTCTTCCGATCATTTTGGTATGAAGTAACTGGTATTGAGTAGTCACTGGAACCGGTGATGAAGCTTTCACCGAGCTATTTTTGGTGATATTCTTAAAGCCACCCCAGATCACCAAACTGTATTGTGATTTGATTAAAATCTTGTTTTTTTGGTGATTTCTTCAGCATTTCTGACGACAAAATCATCACTGCTGCTCCATTCTCAGAACGAAGGGCTGTTTGGCCCGGAGAATCGCCAGGAGGGGTGCCACCGCCGCTGTTTTTAGTTCGAAGGAAGTAGGGGATGAATGAGAGAGAATGACTGTGGCCACTGCTGTTTTGCCCGAATACTGCTCAGCGAGGCGACAAGCCCTTCGTTCTCTCTCCCTCTCGGCACAGCCGTCGCAGGTGACGTCAGTCACCGACGAAGGGCTCCCTCCCTCTCTTTCTCTCTTCATCCCTCCGTTCTCACTCCCCCCATTCACCCTCGTCCCTGTTTCATCATGCCGCTGCAACAAGTTGCAGCAGCGGCGGACCCCTCCACGCACTCGGATACAGATGACAAGTGTTATCAGAGTTCTTCGGGCATTCCACCGGACAAGGAGGGAGGAAGGAAACTAAACCGATCCCATATGCTCGGAGATGATATCTTCACTCTGGACGACGATGAGTGGCAAGCTCACAAGAAGATAGCACACATCGTATTGGCTTCCAAGGAGTTCCGGAGTTTCATGGCCAGCGTGAGCAAGAAGCTAGTGGGTGATGGACTCCTGAGCTTGATGCTTCAGGCTGCTAAGCATGGCAACATCCTGGATTTGGAAGATGTGTTCATGAAGTTTGCATTCAATAGTGCCTATACGACTGTCCTCGGCAGAAACCCGAACTTGCTCTCTTTGAGCTCTGCTACTAATGAGATTGCTAAAGCCATCGACAACGGGACGGAAGGTGTGTTCCATAGGCACATCATGCCCAGGAAGCTGTGGAAGCTGTTGGGTTGGTTGGGGGTCGGGAGTGAGGGGAGACTGGCCAGAGCTCAACAGATCATAAATCATCACTTGTTAGAGCACATTTCGTTGAAAAGAGAAGAGATGCGCAAAGGGGTGCAGGGAAGTGATTTGATAGCTATGTACATGAGTTCTCAAGCTCAGAATGGAGAAAGCAAGGCTTACAGTGATCTGTTCCTCAGAGACATTGCACTGGGCTTCCTGTTTGCTGGGCGGGACTCGACGGGAACGTCTCTCACTTGGTTCCTCTGGTTGGTTTCCACAACCCCTCGCATGGAGGAAAAGATCCTGGATGAATTGATGCGGTTAAAGAAGAAGAAGGAAGCGGAAGGTGTCGTCAGAGATCAAAAGCAGCCATGGGTGTTTGATTCAGAAGATCTGAAGGATCTGGTGTATTTCCATGCAGCCATGTGTGAATCCTTGAGGCTGAACCCGCCACTTCCGCTCACCAGAAGAGGTGTTATCAAAGAAGATGTGCCTCCTGATGCGGAGGGGGAGGACTTAGAAGAGAGAGAGTGGGAGCTCAGGGTACGAGGACAATATTGGGTTTTTAAAAAATTGTATAGGTCACATGGGGTCACATGTGCATAGATTGTGATGAAGCATTAATGGATGCTAACGACAAGGGTAGAGTTAGTCAATTGTCAGAAACAATAAGGGTAGTGTTAGCCAATTTTCAAACAGTAAGGGTACACTTAGTCAATTAGCTAATCCATGAGGGCAGTTTAAGAAATCTACCCAAAAATTAATAATACTTTAAATAGAATAGATGGGTATATAGGATATTAACTCAATGAAATGAATATGTAACACATTAATTTCTGTTGGTTTGTAGACATGTTACATTTATACACTTGATGCAGGATACATGGGAAATTTTTCAGCAGCAATCAACATTTACTGTATAAGAAAGAAAGAGAATAAAAGAACAGAGAAACAAGAAAAGACACTACCACTTTAATAATAATGAGAAATAAACAGCAAACCAATTCATTTTACTAATCACTAGTAAACGATCCATAGGCTTAGACATTTCTTCGTGAGAAAGAAACCTTAAAGACTTGACATGCCATCACCAATTTGTCATTTCCTTAGAGACTTCTCCATGAGTAATAAACCTACCTCAAGAATTTGACGCCCCACCATGTGATTGCTACCTCAGAGATTTCTTCTTGTTGAATGATCTTTTTGAATGTTTACTTTAGTAACCAATTTATATGATAACACAAATTTCCAAGCTCAGTTATATTGTAAATAAGATAGTAGCAAGCAAAAGATTTAATATAACACCAAAATTTTGAGATTTAAGCTGAGATAACCGAGCTGCCGGATATTACTATAAATCTATAAGACGTTCTGGGGGCAGCTTGTGGTTGTAGCCTGTAGGCCCCAAAGATGGATACAAGTCCTAAAATCACCCGCCCCCCCTCAACCATTGGGACTCGGTGCTACTTCACATGGTTTCTTTTTCTTGTCTCACATCTGCATCATTACTGAACCCACAAAAAAAGAAAGAAGCACTGTGATCCCGTGAGGAGTGACAAAATGAGATAGTACCAGACAATTTAATGGTTGTTTATACCAAATGCCAACAAGAGGGTAATCCTATGGTATCAAGAGAAGAAAAACATTTAAAGTCAGAAGGAATTAACACCTAAGGGCTAAGAGGCAGCAACATCAGCGTTGAGCAAGGGCTGAACCTGGTAGGAAACTAGGATAGTATTTGAAGGCAAGGGTTCTGGCACTGTGGAACAAGATTGAAATCTCACCCAAAAGACACGAAAAGTGCTACAGATCAAGGGAACTATCAAGTGAAACAGTACCAAAAGTGAAAATCCTTCATTCAATAACTCACTAGGGATAAATTGCAAAATCAACATAAACCTCCAAACGAACAGCAGAATGGTGCGTTTAATGCTAAGAATGGGACCAATTGAGCATAGAACTAGACAATGCAGCTTGGTTGAACATGAAGCCATCAAATTAACCAAACCCCCCGTATCCGTATGAGCAATTGAGAATTAAGAATTTTTCCCTCTTCACTAAATTGGGGATTTAAGAGAGATAAAAGGTATTAACTACAAAATCTGCAATACATGGCTAATAATCAAAAATCAAAGAACTTCGATCTAACCAGATAAAAACGGAGAAGCGGGAAAAAAGGTTGTCTAACTATTGAAGTATTGATCATATAACTGAACTACCCTTACCATGTTGAACCCGAACTTATTCCGCTTAGAAGAAGAAAAATGGAAATACATAAACTTATTAGCTTTTTGAACCCACTCTCTGATTCTCTGCCATTTGCGAGAAAACCTTTGTTGCAAACATATTGTCATCAAAATATCTGGCATAAGGGTGCTCCTTGGGGACAAGCCGTCGATACTTCTGGAACTGTTTCTCGGCTTCATCTTTCTTTCTCAGCAACGTATAGATAATCCCCTGACAGAGATACGGCCGGAAATCCCTCGGTTCCTCTTTAACAAGCTCCTGGTAAACCTTCAAAGCATCCATGTAATTCCCCTCAATGACCCTAACCTGAGCGACCAGCAACTTGAAATCCCTCAAATTCTCTTTCTTCTTCTCCTTCTTACACCTCTCCATAGCGTTCTCAATTCTCTTCAACACGTTTTCCAAGTCAGCCGACTCCGACTGCGAAGTTGCCATCACAAGGCCATGGTAAGCTTCAACAAAAAGAGGGTCTTTGGATAGAATCTCTTCGAAACCTAACTTGGCCAATTCGGCGTCTCCGCTGTAGTTTTGAAGGTGCGCCTTGAGTAAAGGCCATTCCCTTTCAGACGGTTCGATTTCGATCAGTCGGTCAATGATGGCGATTGCTTCTTGAAGCTTGCGAGCTTTAATCTTCACCTCCATTAGGGATCTGAGGGCTTCAACGTCGTCAGGGTGGGACTCCAAATACTCTTCGATGGTACTCTCTTTCTCTTCACCATTGAAGGTTTCGGTGGTCTCCCTGCTGGTGGATTCGACAGTGGGTGTAGGGATCGGCGCGGCATACGAGGGTTTGCTGAAGCGATTGAAGAAGAGAACACCGGCGCCAATAACGAGGCAGGTGGTTTTGAGGACAGAGGAAAAGGGTTTTAGGATTTCGAGTGGTAGCTCCGAGTGATGGCTTTGCTGTGGATTCAGCGGGCGAGGAGCAGAAGAGGCTTGGACAGATTTAGGCTTAGGCTTCGAAGAGGGGATCTTGGAGAAGGAAATGGAGGAGACGGGTATTGACAAGGACAGACGGCGATGGAATGAGAGATGCAGAGGTTGGTGATTGTGATGGACTTTAGCCAGGCTCTCCATTGTATCAGTCGTGTCGTCTGCTCTTATTAGTTCTTAGTTCTTACTGGAAATTGCAAGTGTAAAGAGAAGGGGGAGAGGGGGAGCTAAAACCCTCGCAAGAGAGGGAAAAAGGGAGGAGGAAGTTATAGTATTACTGTATCAGTAGTCGCCTCTTCAAATTACAATATACACGTATACGGTATACCACATTATACCATTATTATATAGGAAAATTTTCCAATCAATACCCTTTAATTTGAGTAAGTGACAACTTGTTCCCCGAAATTTAAAATGTGATAATCACTATCCGAATTTTTGAAACGCAACAATCTAGTATATTTTTGGCATCGATGATGCTGCAGATAAACGGTACCGCTGAATTGCTGATGTGTGGGTTGGAATTATTATTTTTTAAGAAAATAGTGTTTTTTTTTGTTTGAAATAATTGCCCTTAGCTATGATGTTTATTGAGCAGCAACAACTTTTTTCTATTTGGTACCGATGCTCTAGTAAACATTTTCAGCACTGGTACTCATTATCCAGTGTCACACCACTGCCATCTCACATCCCTGTTGTTAACAACGAGTCGTAGTTCCAGAAAACGCCAAATTCGGCATTTCTCCAAGCCATGCCTTCCCGATTTTTAGGGTGTGGCTTGGAGAATCGTTTTTTATGGAAAAACGGTTCCAAACAAACACCTGTCTCCTGGAGCATCGCTTTTTCTGATGTGGTGCCATTTTTTGGAGTAATGACAACAATGCCAAACAGACGCCTAGTATTTGCCATTAATGGATCGTCAACTATGTATATCACGTGACCTCATGTGCAATTTAGGAGTTTTGAAAATGTAAAAATTACCCTTGCAAATAAAACACACTGTTCATCATCTTCTTCATCAATATTCAAGAAGATGAAACAAAGCCCAATCTCTCTGCCACAAATACCACAAAAGCGATATTTTCTAACATACCCACTCATTGCCTCATTGGATGGTTGGAATTGCTCCAGATCATTCTTGTTTTATTTTTATTTTTATATTTTAATGAGAACTTTGTCAAGTAAATCCCTAGTTCCTAGTCGGGCCTAACTCTTTTTTGTCTTGGCTTCCTATCCAATTTCAATGTCTCACCTGAATCCCCATCGGATGAAGCTTCAACTGATTTGGTAAAAGAGCTTGAAAGATTAGCATGGAGATCAACCACCCTCCTGAATGTTGTTGTTAAGCTCCCGGATCAGAACCACACGAAGCAATTTTCTTGTAAAGAACGCAATCAAAAAATGGTGCAGGTTTGGATAAAAGATAAATCATTCTCACAAGAAAGTAAGCTAAGGGATTTTGGCCAAGGACACTGGGAATTCTCCGGATAAGCTGTTATTGTTCAACCTCCTATACGATAAGATATAAGGAAACAAAGAAAAGATAAGAAGTAAGAGATTAGATGTAGAGGACTAATGAGAAAGAAGCATGAATTCAACAAAGAAAGAGATGAATAACTCTCTGTGTCTATTCAAAAAGCTCACAAGTACAACAAACTGCTGAGTTGACCCAAAGACATGGGAATGTTGTTGGAGAACCGGTTATAGGATAAATCCAACGTCTAAAGCTTGGGAAGGTTTTCGAGATCCATCGGAATTTCTCCATAAATGTTATTGTTCTGCAATAACCTACAAATTTCAACTCAAACAAGAAAAAAAAAAGCAGAAGAAAAAAAAACAAATGGATGTGTGAAAATTTCAGTTTGCTATTTGGTTGATTATCTCTTAGAGGAAAAAAATTAAAATGGATGATTGGTTCTGATTTTAGTGGATGGTTGATAAAGAAAATTAGTTGACACTTAATGGGTATTTGTGTTTCACATGCCACTTAACATTTGGTTAACGACATGTACTAGATTGTCGCATTGCATTTTAAAGTTCGGGGACTAAATTGTCACTCGAGCCAAAGTATAGGGTATTGATAAGGAATTTTCCCTATTATATATTGCAAATGCCAAACAGGCCCGATTCAGCGAGTCTGCGACTAGCCCAACTCATCTCGGGCTCTTGAAACAGGGATGATCATGGGCTCTGTTTATGGGACTCAATATACGACTAGCCCGACCTAAAAATCTTAAAGACCGAGATCAGCCTGTTTTATACATAGTCCCTAGCTAGCTGGACCAAATACAAAAGCATAGGATCACTTGGTCAAGCCAAGAATTTTGAAGTCCGGACCGGATGGGTTTCTCCTAATTAAGGGTGTCAAAATCAATTTGGACGGATTGGACATACCAACAGGACATAATGAATTGGGTCAATCCGATCCGAAATATTTATTAGATTAGATTAGGCCTGGTCTGTTTGTAATAAATTTATATTAGATTAAGCCAATATCTGGTCTATTGATCTAAGTTAAGAAAATAGGTGCCAATGACTGATTTGGGTTAAAACCAATTTAAATTAAATCAAATTTGAACAGATTGAATGGCCAAACATTAAATTAGACCGGTTCAAAATATTCATTAGATTGGACCTGATCCAATTGTAATGGACTCATATTAGACTGGATCAAATTGGACCAAATCCAGTCCATTTGACACCCTACTCCTAATAAGCCGTCGGAGCCGTGCTAGGATTGGCCACCCTTATGAGGAAATATTTTGGATCATGTTTGGCATAAGCTCGGCCATGCCCTTCCAGCTTCCCGGCTAGGATAAGCTCATCTGACTAATTATTCTGATACGAATTTGAATTGATCCAGGTTTAGCTCATGTGAGCTGCTAGTTGAGCTCATTTACAATCCTAAATGGTATTAGCTTCACATACCTGGCATGTGCAAATACTGTGGTTTATCAATGGGTCGTTTTGCCTCGATAGCCCGAACAAAACCAAATCGATTATGGGCTTCTTTGGCACGTCTTTTTGAGAAGATCTTCTTGTAGCTCTGACAGTCAAAAGATGCATTGAACTTTTGACATAAGATCTGGGTAGCCCGAAGACAGTTTAGCAAATGCACGTTTCAGTGCATTTGCTCGTGTCTTTCTGCGCGAGATTAAAATGCGAAAGACGCAGGAAGCTTCAATGAAGCTTCTCGAAATGGGCTTCTCGCATCTTTTCAGCACACCGTCTTTTGGCGGTTAGATTTTTTGTGAGCCAAACGGGAATAGACCAAAAATCGGTCTTCCCGACTTGTAAACAGCCAATAGACCGTGCATAAAAACATGCCAAACGAACCCTATATCAATTGTGGTTTTATGATTCTGTCTCAATTAACAATAAAGTCAGATCCAATTCTTTCTTGTAGGGCTCGAATTCATTATTTTATTAAATATATATAACATTTTCTTATTTTTAATGCTTGAAATGATAAATTTGATAAATAACATTAATTAAAAATATTTAGTTTATTAACATATAAGCAATTTAGTATTTTACTATCATTTTTATTAAGATTATATTATCAAATGTTTTCCTACTTTTTGTCACGGCCAAGCTGTGGAGCCTGGGGATCTATAGTGTTGCCATGTCACCACGCAATAAGTAAGAAAAATTTATGTTTGTGCACTTCCCTGCCCGGATTTCCACCAAGCAAAAACTTTAATAGCACATCAGGAAATACATATATATTCGTAATTAGATCTATTTATGGGCTGGGCAGTGTTTGGACTAGATTTTGCTTATTTATAAACAAAAAATGACTAAATCTGAACCCAAAACCTGATCTGGATAGATATTATATAATATATAGAATATTATATAATATAATTTTTTCTATTAATATTATTTTTACATAATATTATATTTTTTATTATACATATACAATTATCCAAAACGGGCTGGGCTTATTTGGGAAAGCCCTAGGCCAAAAAAATATCAGGCCCGGTGTTTAGAACCCAAACCCAAGCCTGCAGTATTGGGCCGGAAAAGTTCGTAATGTGCCGTTGGATGCCTGATGTGTGCAGCATACTGCTTGAAATTCTCACAGAATGAGACAGGAGGGAGAAATTTCAAACATGAAATATGGCTCTTCATTTCTCCTTCTAATTATTGAGAAATCATCATTAACACCTAAAAATTATAAAGCAAAATCAATTCACTAAAAAGTTAATAAGTCTAGGCTAATGCTACACATTTGGGAGGGGATGATGATTGACAGCCTTGACCAGCTATCTTTGGTTTGGAAGAAAAAGCACATTGGATGCTGATAAAAGGTAAATTATAATCACCCCCAGTACCATGGAGTTAGTGACAATTACCTCTTAGAATTTTCATTTGTGACAAACCCTCCTTGACTATGACTATGGGTCAGTGACAATTCCCTAAATTTTCACTTTCGAATGAATATCCCTTTGTCTTTAGGGTAGATGACATTATGTGTTAAACTACCAAAACACCCACATGAATTTTCTTTATTTTTTTCCTTTGATATTTTTTCCTAAACTCTTATTAACCCAAAAAAATACTTCCATTTTCTTCAAACAAAACCAGCTAAAATAACAAGAATCATTTCACATAGAAAAACATGTTTTTTTAAATTCTTATTTCATTTTACTGTCATAAATGCTTCTCTTCATAAAGGTGTAAAGTGGGCTGGCCCCGTGGGCAGCCCGCCCTAAAGATGGGCCGTGTTGTGCTGGCCTGCGGGTTGTCACGGGCCGTGTCGTCCTCCCCGATGGAAATTTTGGGGGTCGACCCGGCACAATCCACTGCCCAGGCCCAAGCGGGCCCGTGCCGTGCTGTACTGGCATGTGGGCTTGGGCTGGGCCGGGCTACAGGTTGTGCTGTGGGCTTGGACTGTTCTGGGTTGGGCAACAGAGCAGGCCTTGGGCCTAGGTCGAACCGGGCTGCATTATTTTTTTTTTTGAATATTTTGATTTCTTTTCTAAGTAAAATTGTAAAACTAAAATATTTAACTTTCATATGAACTTTGGGAATTAGGAACTACTTAAAAAATTAAGAAATGAGAAATCTAAGTTATTTAATACATAAATGAAAACAAATACTTAACTAAATTGAAATAAGAACGATGGAATAAAAAATTGGAAGAAAAATAGGAATTTTATTTCATTTAAATTTGAATGGTGCAAATTAGTGAATTACAAATACAATGATTGGATCATTGCATACTTGGATGAATGAAATATAAAAATGGAATAATTAATAAAATATAAAAAATACAAT